AAACAGAGTTAACGTTTTGGGTCTGGTGACCCTTCCTCAGAACTGGGAACTCAGAACAGTTCTGAGAAAGGGTCACCGGACCCGAAACGTTAACTCTGTTTTCTCCTCCACAGATGCTGCCAGACCTGCTGAGCTTTTCCAGCAACTTTGTTTTTGTTCCTGATTTACAGCATCCGCAGTTCTTTTGGTTTTCATGGAAGTTAAGGATAATGTGATGCAACTGTGGCCTTTAAGAGAGGTGTTCTCTGCTGTTTCTCTTGCAGAGGGATTGTCATAGCGATACCGGAATGTCTCTTTTACAATAGGCAGTTGGTAAACAGCTTTTGAGTTCTCCCTGGGTGCTTTATTTTTAAACTGAGACACAAGGGAGTCATGAGTGGGTGGAGTCATGGCTCACACAGACGCAAGAAAGTTTTTAGTTTTGCTTTCAGTTCGTTCGAATGTTTCCTGCTGGCTGCTGAGCTAAAAGTTCAAGTTCCTGACTGTGACAGTGAAGTCTTAGACAGCGTGGCTTTCTCTTAAAAATTAAAAAGGTCAGACTGTATCTGTCTTCTATTCTGAAGAGGAGATGGCATGCAAGAACTATAACTTTTACTAAACTGTATTTTGTCCAAAGGGTGTGATTATGGAATGCTGCCTATATTGAAACAGTTGATAAGTAGTGGTGAAATAGTACTTTAACTCTATTGAAATACTTAACAAGATAAAGTTAGGCCAATTCTTCCTTATTGTTTGTATTTTAACTGTATTGTAAGAATAAAGTATGTTTTGATTAAAGCCCAGTGGTTGACCAATCGAATCACATCTGGAACATAGCACCTTACACTTGACTTTAAATAAATATACAACTTAGGGTCCAGGCTATCTCCTCACAACACTTTGTTGGTGTATGGTCTGGTCAATAACTATAGCATCAAATTAAAATCAAAAACGTACAATGTGGTAAAGATTAGTACTAAGACAGAGGATGAATAAAGTTCATTAAAAAAAAAGAGAGCCAACAAATTTTGAGGGTAAATTTGCAAATAATATTAGGATGGTGATATTACCATGAAATTAGTTAAATCTAGAAAAAGGAAGAGAGGGGCCCAAGTGAATACAAGACCCTTAGAGATTCAGGCTGGGGAAGTCATGGGACAGGAAATGGCAGAAAAGTTGAATAAATGCTTTACATCAGTTTTTGAAGACATGAACAGCATTCTAAAAGGTACAAAAGAATCAAGGGGCAAAAAGGGGATAAGTAAATAAATACAGCAACTATCACTACAGAAAAAGTGCTAGGGAAACTAAAAGCTGATAGATCCTCTAGACCTGATGGGATGCACCCTTGGATATTAACAGGAAGTTGCTACAGAGATACTGGATGCACTAGCAGCAATCTTCCAGGAATTCTTAGACTTTGGAAAAGTACAGAAGGATTAGAAAACTGTCAACATAACATCTTTATTCAGAAAGACAAAAAAATGATAGGTAAGTTAGCTTAACATCTGTTATTGGGAAAAATGCTACATTCTATTATAAACAATGTAATCACAGAACATTTAGAAAGACACAAGGATAATCAACTTGAGTCAGTAGGGCTTCAAGAAGGGTTTCAAGACAAATTTATTACAATTCTTTGAAGATGTAACAAGTAGAACAGATACAGGGGAAACAGTGGGTGCAAAATATTTGGAATTTCCAAAAAAAAAAATCAATAAGGTATCACATGTTAGCTACTTTGTCAGTTATGAAACCACATAATACTTTAGCACTGGTAAAAGATTGGCTAATTAATAAAAGATACATAGTTGGAATAAGAGGTGTATTTTCAAGATGGCAACCTGTAATTAGTGGACTGCCGGGGCCACAACTATTTACATTATGTGTTAATGACTTATATGGGGGAAGTGAATGTACAATGGCCAAACTTGTGCATAGCACAAAAATAGGTGGAAAGACAAATGGTGAGGATGACACAAAGATTCTGAAGAGGGATATAGACAGGTTAAGTCAGTGGTCAAAAACTTGGCAGATAAGATATTACATTGGAAGATGTAAGGTTATGCACTTGGGCAGAATAAAGGGTCTGCATATTTTTTTAAACGGGTAAAGACTGCAGAAAGCTGCAGCACAGAGAGGTTTGGGAGTTCTTATAAATAAATCATGAAAAGAAAGCATACAAGTTCAGCAAGTAATAGGGAAAGAAAATGGAATATTGGCCTTTATTTCAAAGGGAATGGAATATAAACATCTGGAAATCTTGCTAAAACTATACAAGGCACCAGGTTAGACTACACCTAGAATATTGCGAACAGTTTTGATCCCTTCATCAAAGGAAAGATTGGTATGGGAGGCTATTCAGAGAAGGTTCATGAGGTTGTTCCCAATTATGCAGATTGAGTCTTATGAGGCAATGTTGAATTGGTTGAGTTTGTACTTTATGAATTTAGAAGACTGAGAGGCAACCTTGTTGAACATTTATGATTCTTAGGGACTACCCTTCCTAGGGTAGATGCAGAGAAGTTGATTTCCCTTGTGGGACAGTCTAGCATCAAAAGGTATAATCTGAGTAATGGTTGCCCAGATGGGCCAGTAATGAGGAAGAATTTCTTCAGGGTAGCGAATCCGTGGAATTCTTTACTGCAGAGCACTGTTGAGATTGGGTCATTAAGTACACGCAAGGCTAAAATAGGCAGATTTTTAATCAGTCAGGGAATTGAGAGTCTTGGGGGAAATGGTATGAAAGTGGAGTTGAGGATTACTAAATCAGCCATGATATCGTCCAGTGGACTAGACTGGATAGGCTGAATGATGCACTTCTGCTCCTACATCTTGTGATCTTAAAAGCTGGGTTCTGATGAATAAAGTATACAAGATGCAAATACATCTAAAATTGTAAGATAGAATGTGTAAATGTCTGTGCACCAGTTGAGCTCTCCCACAAACACACAATTTAAAATACATCTCATGTTTTAATGCCATCACTACTGCACTGATGTCCCAGCCTGAAATTTTGTGCTGAAGCCTCTAGTATCGGATCACACTGACTTTCAGTGAGATCTGTGAGCAAGAGGCAAAAGTGCTGGAAAGTGAACCATGGTGGTTCAGTAAAGGAGCTGGAGTCACACGGGTCTTACTCTACTGTCTGTGGGGATAATATGAGTGATGACTAACCAGTAAATTTAAAGTAATTCTTAAAACTGTGAAATCATTTTCATTCACAGTCCAATACTTACTTCCAAAACATCTCTTCATAGATCAAAACAAAATCTAAAACATGACAAATGACTTTCGCATCCAAGAGATGTTTTAAAGCTTTTCAGGTATTGTATACTTTGAAATACACTGCATGTCTGAATGCAATTACATTTCTCTGCAGGCTAGCAAGGGAGTGATTTTTATATGACAAAATCAACCCAATTGTATCAATATGGATGGCAAATTAACTTGGAGGATTGTCAGCCAGAACTCACTGCTTTTCTTCAAGTAATGCCATCTGTGATCCTGGGGTTAGCTTACAGGTGGAAGCTAGTGTTGCAGAAGGTAAAAAAAAATTGCACTAACAAGTTTCAAAACTTGCACTCACCAGGATTCTGAATAGATTCAATGATCATTTTATAGTTGTTCTTGTTCACACTGAGGCCTGCCATGACATCCTCAATTCTCCTCAGATCCTTTCTTATCTGTTCTTGATCCTGAATCCAGAAAAGCAAGTCATCAACTTACAAGTTCAAATTAGACAAAGCGACCTGTGACCAAAATTAACAACATTTTACCCGTATTTTTGACAAATCAAGACAACCAACAGTCATTTCAAGTTGAATCAGAGATAGTAGGAACTGCAGATGCTGGAGAATCCGAGACAACAAGGTGCAGGGCTGGATGAACACAGCAGGCCAAGCAGCATCATAGGAGCAGAGAGGCTGACATTTCGGGCCTAGACCCTTCATCAGAAAAGGGGGAGGGGAAGGGGGTTCTGAAATAAATAGGGAGAGAGTGGGAGGCAGATAGAAGATGGATAGAGGAGAGGATAGAGGAGAGGATAGGTGGAGAGGAAGCAAACAGGTCGAAGAGGCGGGGATGGAGCCAGTAAAGGTGAGTGTAGGTGGGGAGTTAGGAAGGGGATAGGTCAGTCCAGGTCATTTCAAGTAACTGAACAACATAACCATGGATAACGAATAGAGAATCTAAATGAGAAAACTGTTGATAAGTTGATCACCATCTGAGCATCAGGGTCTTTTAGAGCAGAATTATTGTTGCACCATATAAATGCAACAAATTCAAGCATTGATTAGAAGGTGATTCACAGGACGGTTTTACAGTAGCATTTGATATCAAGTCGTACAAGGAAATATTAGGTAGCAGTATTCTGTGCTCATTTTCTCTGGGCCTTATAGTCCTCTTATCTTCCTCAGTTGTTTGTAGAACCATCCAATTTTCAAATACAAATTATTTAAGATCATCATTCTCTTTCTTTCCCTTGGTCTACAGCCCTCTAATCATCCCTCATCCATTCTTTCAACAAGTTCTCTTCTTTCAGAATATGACATTGATGCCTTTTCTTGACGATCTTCACTAAACCTTTCCTCCGTCATCATCCTGAAAATTTCTTCACCATTTTGTGTACTGTCCAAGTGGCCCATTTCAGAACTTTAGACGTCCACATTTCAGCACATACAACACGACTCTTCAAATCACAGTCTTGAACATTATTTTCTTAAAATCTCTCCTCGTTCCTTGTTGAACAATTCTCGGTTTTTAAAAGAATGGCTTTTTGCAATTGATATTCTAGTTCAGATTTAATTTTTAGCAGTAACCACCTTCAGAAAAGATGCTTTCCAAGTAATTAAACTGTGTACCTATTACAGCACTTGTCTTGACCTCTGTTTTCCCATCATTACATCAGAGAATCTTCACAACTTTGATCTCTTCAACGTGAATTTTCATTGTCAATTTTCACCAGTTTATTCAATTATCCATTATTATTTCTACATTTTCTACTGTCCTGTCCACCAAGGCCTCAATATGCTAATCTCACTGTACTCACCAGTTAATATTCAATACTGACAATGTTCTGTACTTCATTTGTGCTTTCTTCTTTTAAAAAGGAAAATGGTGGTCTCCACATAAATGTTAAGAACTATGGTGACTTGTCTCACCTTGCACTCAATTACACGGGATTCATGTTCATTAAATACTGTGAATTTACTAGTCTTGTAGTTGTTGCAGGCAATCATTCTTTTCTCCCTCCAGTCAACTTTGATCATCACATACATTTGGAACAGCTCTTACCTATTCACCCAGTCAAGAATGTTTGCATAATCCACACAGCAGACATACACTTATTAGTATTCTGTGCTCCTCTCGCTTTGTGCTGCCATCAGTGCTAAGTCTACATGCTTTTGTCAACAAAACTGATCACACCCACTGTACTTTGCTTGCTTTGGATTCCAAGCTATTTGCCAAGATTTTTGAAATGTAGCATTTAACAAAACTAAAGAATTCTCATGCCAACACAGGTGCAGATGTGACACAAACCATAATTTAGTTGCAAATAAAGTAAAAGTTCAGCTCAAGGGAATCAATGCAAGAAATTATTCCCAACACAGCAATTTTTTTCCAGTGTGTACTTTTTGATAAATTGTGTGCTCATCACAGTTACACCCATTTTATATCCCATTTCATAACATTAAGCTCCTGAATAGCAGCTAAACCATAGGTCAAATTTCAAGATAAACTGGCTTAGCTGCGCTCTAATATGGTGCCTTATTTGAAATTTTCAAACAGTATCTCCCACAATAATAATGGGAATTTATCTATGTCTGTGCAGATTAGAGAAGGTCTCAGTTAGAAGTACTAAAGTATTTGTGGCGACTTCACCTTGATTAAAGTACTCATATGGGCAGTTGGACGTTGTTGCTAAACTTGCTTTCCCAACATACATTTGATAACTAGTTACAATGAAAACAGTCACAGAAGAACAATTTTCAATTGAATTTTCTATTATAAACCAATCCATTAGACAATTGCAAAGGCTGAAGCTCCTGTCCTCTGGGTCCCCTTATTTGCCTTGTAGCTGCACTCTTCTGTCCCTGAACACTAAAGAAATGTGACAATTTGGATCAAATTCTAAAACTAGAAATACTCTGACGCCAACCCAAATCCCTCTGGAATATAATTTTGGAGACACTAAGGCTTTGGTGCTGGAATAAAAACGCTCTAATGATCGGAATATTTAAGACTCTGGCAGAAGGAGTGCACTAATAGCTCCTCCCTAATACTCAACAGGTGTAAAATGTGTCAATGTTTTGATAGATTCACTGCAATGGTGAACCTAAGTGGGACTGGCAGGTACCTGTGACATTGTGAGTCTGTCACCAGCACCAACCCAGCCCATACAGATGAAAATAGGGTTCTTTCAGTCTTTACAGGGAACATCTTTCCTCCCTTCCCCAAAGACCATGAACTCCCTGTGGTCTTTATTCCATCTTTTGCCTTCCCTTCCAAGAGCAAGCACACTACCTCTCAACTATGAGTGAAACTATGAATGGAAAGTCAGTGGAGTTCAGCCCAACACAGGGTAAACAAGCACGCGTTGTATGTGTTCAGATTCAGTAAGATTTTGTAGCTTTCATGTACAGACAAGAAAATATATTTGAGTGTATCTAGAGTCAGAGACAGATTGAATGTAATTTTTGGGTAAGAAAGTCTATGTTTTGGTTTTGTACAAATTAATTTAGTTCATAGTTTACATTAAACTGAAATCTAGAGATCTAAAACTAGACCCTCATTAAGCAAGTCAGACAGGCTTTTAATAACAGCGGCACGTAAAACTAGCCAACATAGTACGACTTACAAAGGGGTGGCACGGTGGCTCAGTGGTTAGTACTGCAGCCTCACAGCACCAGGGACCCAGGTTCAATTCCACCCTCGGGCGACTGTCTGTGTGGAGTTTGCACATTCTCCCGGTGTCTGCGTGGGTTTCCTCTGGGTGCTCCGGTTTCCTCCCACAGTCCAACGATGTGCAGGCTAGGTGGATTGGCCATGCTAAATTGCCCGTAGAGTTCAGGGAGGTGTAGATTAGGTGGGTTATAGGGGGATGGTCTGGGTGGGATGCTCTGAGGTTCGGTGTGGACTTGTTGGGCCGAAGGGCCTGTTTCCACACTGTAGGGATTCTATGATTCTAATAAGGCACCAGACTTAAGTGAAGAGGGAGGATGTGATGTGGGGTATACTTCAGTTTGTGTGAAACTTTGTCAATTTCAAGAATTGAACCTTACTCCAAAAAGGAGAAAAAAATTGAACTATGTGCCAAGCATCTGGTAAGTGACTAAGGTCTACTCTACTCCCACAATTCAAAATAACACAGGTGGAAAAAATATATAAGAATATAACAATATAAAATTGATAAAGTAAAATATACAAACAGATGTGGAGTAGATGTGATAATCTAAGGGTCATTGTTTAAAAACCAAAAGTCACCCATTTAAAACAGATGTGATGACTTTTCTCCCCCCACACATATAGAGTCACCAGTCACTGGAACTCTGTTCCTGAAAGTCTGGTGGAAGCAAAGTCCTTGAATATTTTTAAAGGTGAAGTAGATAGATTATTGTTTAAGCAAGGGAGAGAACCGTTTATGTGAGAATGTGGATTTGATGTTACTATCAAGTCAGCCATGATCTTATTCATTGACAGAGTAGGTTACTAGTCCTGTTCCTAATTCATGTTATGCAGCAAATAACTCATGAAAATCATTAACTTCTACCTGCAAACAATGTACTTCCGAGAATTGAAACATGACCATTACTCATTGCTTACTCCTCAAACTATTGAGCTTTTACAAACTGTTATTTTGAAAGTAATCCTTAGCTAATGATTTAAATAAAACACAATTCCTACAAAATGAGCTTGCCTGGGAGCTTGGTGCAGTTTTCATGTATCCAAGGATAGCTTCCTTGAGCTGGTTCACACCGTTTTCAGTCTGCTCATATTCTTTCCATGCTTTTTCCAGTTCCTACAGAGAAATGATATGCAGGTTTCTTTAATTCCACATTGTAACTTATGAAACATAAAAATGGATTAAATGTTGGTGTGTTATTTTATTCTCCTATCTCATATAATGTTTTTATTGACTTATCCCATAAGGCAGTTAACACAGAAGTAAACAGAGCCACAATCTATTTGCCTAGTCCCAAAGCTCAAAAGACTGCACACAATACCTTCAATTCATAGCACAGATTTTTTCAATTAAAACCTTTTCTTTCCTATAATCGATCTATTTCTCCACAGTTTACCAACATTTAACAAATGGCTTCCCCCATTGCAAAAGGCTGTACAGCAATCCATTTAGCAATGCCCAGACAAATATTCTTAGATCTTAATGATCCCAGTCAACATATTACTGATTGAATTGTTGAGGGAAAAGAGGGTAATTACAGCTCTGATTTTTTTTACTCAATATTAACTTATGTACATTAAGAAACAAAAGAAAAATCTAATTTATTCTCTCCAGCCCATTCTTCCAGTAACCAAATATAATTATTTTAATTAAAAAAAAAATCGCCCAAACATTTGACCTCAAAGGGATTACATTACTTTCCTAAAGATGTTTGAGAAACAGCCATTGACTTGATCAAAGTGCAGTGTGTTAGTACAGACCGGAGAATATACAAGGAATGTAACAGTTCAATTCCACCTCCTTTTCAAAGAAGCTTATCTTTTCATCTTCAAATGCTTGACCTTGGTGATTCCATCCATATATTCACTACCATGGAGCTTCTTGTAGCTCTAGGCTTGTTTTAATTTCCGAAGAAGAGTCCAAACATTAAGTCGAAGACAAGTAAAAGGTTTTACTTGAATGGCTTGCTAATCCACATCATAAATCTTTAGACATTTCCCATTCAGCAAAAATGTTGCTAATTCTCACGGAGTTTGGCCTTGGAAGCCTCACAGCTGCTCAACACTTAGTCATTTTAAAATAACCCATAAAATACTTAATTTCTGAAAAGTTAGAAGAATTGAAGGTGGTGTAATGGTTTAGACTTAATTCTGGGCTAACATGGCACTCCTCGTAGTGGGGACAAATCAGGGTTGACAGAGACCTTAAAGCAGGTCTTGGAGACAGTAAGGACTGCAGATGCTGGAAGCCAGAGTCAATAGATGTGAAGCTGGAAAAACACAGCAGGTCAGACAGCATCCGAGGAGCAGGAAAGTCAATGTTTCGGGGTGAAACCCTTCTTCAGGATGATGCTGTCTGACCTACTGTGCTTTTCCAGCTTCACATCTATTGGCCTTAAAGCAGTTCGCCTGCCTGACTTTCTGCACATCCAACTGACTGGGTATGTTTCGTGGTTTTTAAAAAAAAGAGGATTGCAGATCAAACAAAGTGAGTTGATTCCCTTGACAAAGGCCAACTGTAGTTCAACATGCAGATCCTGCCGTATACTGCACAGGAAGGAACAGCGAAGAGTAGAAATATGGTCATTATAGATCATTCGTAGTTTGGTGGACAAAGGCATTTATATAATAGTGTGCATCCCACATGGTAAGCTGTCTCCCTGCTGACCAAGGTAAATGGTATAATTGAAACGGCGTAGAATATCCTCCAGAGAAAAGGAGAAAGCCAGAAATTGTTGTACAAGTAACACCAACAATTGTGTCCAGAGATTGAAATCCTACATCAGATTTCAGGAGTTGTAAGGAAGGTTAAAAGTAGCACCCTGAAGTGTCTTGTGTTAATGAGAGCACAAAACTGGAAGAAAGGGAGGCTGGTGCAGCAAGATAAAGGCTTCAGATTCTTGGCTGCCAGGAGCAGTTTTGGGCAAGAAGCACCAATTCAAGAGAGATGGAGATGACCAGAATAGGGCTGGTATAAATATCTTCACATGGATGTCTACGAATGTCACTGGGGAGGATTTAAACTAAGTACGCTGGGAAATGAATACCAGTATATCAATGTAGAAAGAGGAATAAGTTGCATAGAGGATGTCTTTGGATATCTCAGAGGGAGGGAATGGTGCCACAATAGGTCGGACCAGACTATGAGGAATAGAAAAGCAGGTTTACAATGCATGCATGTAAATTCACAAAGTGTGGTTAAAAAAGGTGGATGAGCCATGAGCACAAACAGCTGTGTAAGAGTATCACATGGTGGTAATTATTGAAAAATTACTCAAAACTAGTGAGGACTGATCACTAAATATTCAAAGGTATGAAGTATTTGGAAAAAATGGGAATCAAATAAAGGCAAGGTGGCAATATTGATTGGGAAGATATTGCAATGCTGGAATGAGAGGACATCCAACAAAAAGGTGCAAAGAAAGGACACAGTGAGAGTAGAGAAATCACAAGGGCACTATTGTACCACTGGGAATAGTCTCTAAATAGTGACAGCAATATAGAAGAACAAGTAGATAAAGGAAATTAGAGATAAACGTAAGAATTATATGGTCACATTGGTCGGTTTTAATGACCTGAATATTAATTGGGATATTATTAGAGTAAGGCTAAGTAAAAAATAAATATGTGAAATCTGTTTGAGGGCATTTTCTTCACCAGTATGAGAGTGCTCCAATGAGAAGAGATGAGGTATTGCTGAATTTGGTGCCAGAGAATAATTTGAGCTCAGTGAGCCAAGTAATTGGTGGGGGTTGGGGGGTGGGGGAATACTTGTATTAGAATGATCGCTGTATTATATCAACAGACTCATTATGGAAAGAGCAATAACAACCTAAAGGCAAGCGTTTACATTGGAAAGACATGGGTTTTCATTGGATGAAGAGTGACATGGAACCAAAGGCCACCAGAAACCATTGAAATGGAGCAATGAGTAATCATCGAGTAGCTATTTCAGCTCATATGTTATGCTGCAGAAAAACTGCGTTCTTACCAGCAACTATGTTTTCTCTATCATTAATTCTTATGTTCAGGCTAATAGGTGAAAACATTTTTTTCTCATTTTACTAAACAAAATCTTAATAATGGTTTAAACATTTCCATAATATCCAACAGTCTTGCACGAGCACATCTGAAATGTCTTCTAACGGAGGTTACAGTCAAAGAAAAACAAAAAATTTATCTTAAAAAAATGGCCTGGTAGTCGTGGAGTCATATTGCTTAGCTCCTGTTTATGCGTGTGCGATACACAAACTCATACGACCACTTTTCAGACAATTATTAATTATATCTGACATATTAAGAGTGTTACTTTGGTAGACCATACAAGCTACAACAACAACTAGTAAAATAGCCCAATTAAGTAAACTTACTGTACAGACTTTGGAAATCTCAGCTCGGATTTGAACCAGATCCTCTTGCAGCAGCCGCTGTTGATAGGCAATCTTCTCAGTATGAGTTGGCTGTCCTTTATATTGATCCAGTTGCCTGTGGGTTACCTCCAGTACAGATTCAAGCTGGTCCTGAACAAACATGACAAATCAGAACTTGCAGCAAATAACACTGTTTCAGCAATACCTAAATGAAAGGAAGTGTGCTCTGACACCTCTTAAATACACCAGTAATCAAGTCCTTTCTTTGTTGGTGGTAGTGGTGGAATGTGGATAGGCAGACTTATTTGAGTCAAAGGGGAGGGTGGCAGGTGAAACAGAAGCAGATGGAGGTTGGCACCCAGTGATTAGAAAATTGGCAAGAGGATGACGCAGATGGAGATGCAGTGACAGGAATATTAGGAGTTTGGAGAGTGCAGAGTGGCCTATTAGGTAACCAAGGATTTAATCAAGTGGGATGTGAACCTGGAATAGTGACAGTAGAGTAGGGATGAAATGAAATGACAATTGACATCAGAGTCTAAACAGCAGGATGCAGGAGTGATAGTAGTGATACAGAGGAGAGAAATGGAGGTTGCATGCTCAGGTCTAGACTAGCAGCCAAAATGAGTGTGGGGTGTGACTGGATGCAGAAGGCTAACTAAGCATGGTAGAAGTTACATCAGACATGACTTGTTTATAAACAGATGCCCCTTTACCCTTCCTTCAGTTCTCTATATCAAACAGATTAAAAATTGAAACACTTCATACAATGTTTAAGTAAGCAACTGTTAAAATACTGGCGCATAACTTGAGTCCAACCAACTCAACAAAAATTGAAGCAGACGCCAAATCAAGTCTCAAATCCAGCTGAAGTTGTCCTTTTGTTAGAATAATTCTCCTGCTATGGATTTAGTGGATGAAAGGCACCAGAAATTCCTAGTCCATCCTCATACGCTGATGGCTTTCTGGTTGAAGTTTTGGCTCCTTGTCTGTGCTGAATTAGAATGGGTTTGTGACTAAACATTTATTAGTTATTCAAATGTCTCTAATCCTCTACAGACATCAGTTTCAGTTACTTGGATTACTGCACTCTAAAACTTAGCAATTTACTATCAGTTTTCTCAGCTGAACTGTTATTATTGTGCTATGTTTCTTTGGTTCTATCCTCCTTGAAGCAAGTAAACAAATCACATCAAATCAGTGCTGTTTATTTAAAGCTCCAGAGCAAAGTCCAGTTCAGTCTTTGTCTGGTATCCAAATAAGGGGAGAGGACGACCTAGCAATATTATTGCTGGACTCTTAAATGTTCTGGGGACCCGGGTTCAAATCACACCACCAAAGATAATAGAATTTGAATTCAATAAATATCCGGAATTAAGATGACAGAATTCCATTGTCGATTGTTGAAAAAAATTATCTACTTCACTAATGTCCTTTAGGGAGGGAAACTGGCATTCTTACCTGGTCTGGCGTGAGTGTGAGTCCAGACCCACAGCAATGTGGATGACTCTCAACTGCCCTCTGGGTAGTTAGGAATGGGCAATACATGCTGTGTCGCCCTCATTCCATGAATGAATTAAAAACAAAGTATCACTTTCTGCAGAAGCGAAGGAAGTATTAGTGCTGGTGGTTTCATGGTCACCATTACTGATGATTACTTTTGATCACAGATTCAGTGAATTAACTGAATTGAAATTCACTGACCACTATCTTGAGATTATTCTTACTTCTCGATCACGTGTCCAGGCTTTGGGAAGAGTAGTCCAACAGTATTTCCATTCACATGTCAGCTCGCTCACTATTGAATTCTCTCAGATGTTCACAATATGCACAAAAGGTTGTCAGAACCATTGTTCCATCTTTATCATTTCCGACTAGATGGTATTATAAGTATGTATTGTGCTAATATCTTAATCATTGATTGACTAAATCACAGAATGTGGTAGAGGTACGTAAACTAGGAAAGTTCCAGATTCCATTCAAATTATCCTTAATACTCCTCACTATTGAGCCTGTTGGAATCTGTGTGTGTGGACAAACAACAAACCAACTTGGACAGGGAGCTCTTCACAATCAAACTGTTGGCCATCCTATCTTTGCTTATATATAATGACAGATTACACTAAGGGCAGTTAATAAGTAGAATTTCAAATATGAATCACTGTTTTTATCAGATGAATTTTAACTTTTACTGTTTAAGTAGAAGAAAACCAAACAAAATGATTGCACTTTTATTTTTCTAAGTTGTTCCAAATAGTTCCACAAATCTACCACTGCAAGTATTAAAAATTAATTTGTCTGAATTGAGTCTTTCCTGTAAGGGAAATTAGAGAGTACATCATGTTTGCTACTGACTAACAAAGCTAAAGAGATATAAACAGGACATTAACGTATTTTGATCAACTGCTGTGCATTTGGAATTTTATTACCAAATTATTTTCTTCGGATAAGAATACTGTGGCAGGGGTGAGCTTCATCAGAAACAAAAACAGAAGTTGCCAGAAAATCTCAGCAAGTCTGGCAGCATCTATGAAGAGATATCAGAGTTAACGTTTCAGGTCCAGTGACCCTTTTTCAGAATGAGACTGGACCCAAAATGCTAACTCTGATTTCTCTCCACTGATGCTGACAGACCTGCTGAGATATTCCAACAATTTCTGTTTTTGTTTCTGATTTCCAGCATCTGCAGTTTTTCCGGTTATTTTTAATGAGATTTATCAGAATTGGTCTTTTGGAATTTAGGAAGCTGAGAGGGGAATTCATTGAAACAAAGATTCTGAGAAGCCTTGATTAGGTCAATACCAAGAGATGGGTTTCGCAGGCTGAAGAATATAATACTCAGGGATGAAGGTCTCATGACAAAAACGTCAGTTTTGTTTTGTCTGAGACATAGGAGACATTTCTTTAAATTGGAAGCTTTAGAAATCTCAATTCCCAGAGAACTGTAAAAATGCTCAGTCTGTAAGTCTATTTAGAGTGGAGAGCAATTAACTGGGCACCTAAGGATTCAAAAAATAGGGGAATAGGACGAGAGAGGTGGTGCAGAAGTTCAACCATAAGCTTATTGAGTGATAGTGTAGGCTCCAGGAGCACATTGTCTACTCCTGCTCCTTTCTCTTCCACTCTGATGTACACAGTTCACTTTTTTCCTGTTTCTCCTTGCAACATACCTTATCTGCTTTCAGTTGCCGAACTTTGGCTTCCAGTTCTTGGAGACATTTGTCCCTTTCACAAAGTCTGCTCAGTTTAGCCTAGAGGCAGAAAGAATGAATATTTATCAAAAACAGCAATGAAAATGTACACAATGTTTTGGCAGTGTTAGTGACGAAGTTACAAAGCGAGATTCTATCACTACTAATCCGACAAGCAAAATATATTACTGCACTTAACATGAATTACTACAGCAGTAGCTACCTGATCGACCATCACTTTAAACACAAAGCTGGTCTGAGCTCACTTGCAAGTGATTCTTCCATTATCCTTTCCATAAGCCTGTGCTGGTTTCCCCTGCAAAATACACTGTACACTATACAAAAAGGTCAACACGACCACAGGTTGCTGCAACCACCAGGCATCTATCTGACCAGGTGAAGCAAAGATGATTTTCAGCAAATATCAGCAAATGCATGAGAAAGAGACATCCACTTTATCAACACTGTAAATGAGGTTACATGTCTAGGAATTGTTGTGATCCAGAGACCATCACTGAGTATCTTCACTCAATACTCTCTTTCATGTTTCAAGACTTAAGAAATATGATATAGATCGACACATGCTTGGACATAGCCATCCGATATCTGAGCTTTTAGCTGATGTTAAAAGAAAAACAACCACTTAAAAAAAAAAATTCCAACTTTAAACGCAAATCTCCTGCACTCTCTTTTGTCCCTTTGTCCCACTTTTCTCTTTCTTTAGTAAACTCTCATTTGAAAACACATCAAAATATTAGTGGAAGACAAAAGGAAAAACAAAAACAAGCTGCGAAGTTAACAAAGGAGTGAGAATAGACAAGATGAATCAAATTAGTATGCTATTTATTGAAAAGAACAATGAAATAAAATTGAGGAGGAATGAAGAATAGAAGGATGTTAAGAATGTGATATCATGCAAGTAGAATTAGGATCTTGAAAATGAAAATAACTACAATTGGATTTCTGGTATATTGGTTATCACTACCACAAACAGCTCCTCCTGATATTACATCTGCATCAATATTTGTAGCATAATAACTGCCTGGAAATCTTCTGGAGGTGACAAAGCATGATCTATGCTTGCTGTCTCCCAATGATAATTCAGTTGTGACTGGGTATGCAGCAACTGGAGAAATCAGAGATGGAAAGTCAATAATTGCTGCATTGACAAGTTCACAAGGAGAAAACCTTTCAGCTGTAAAATTATTTATAACCCCAGTCACGTAGTTCTCCACGCAGAACTACATTTTATTACTTTTGTTTTAACATATTGATAATCTCAGTCAAAAATGTTTTGGCTACACGATAGCCCGAGTATGGTGAGGGAATGAGGCAAGTTTAACAATAATTCCATTTGATTCAAGTTTCATGATGCACCAGTCAATAGATGTATTATAGATGGATATATTAAGACATGTAAACATGGATGATTTAGGCTTAATCTCAGCATTTTTGTTGATCTCAGCTTTAACGTCAGTTCTTATCCCTGGCCAACAAAAACACAAGGTTAATCAGCCAGCGTTCCTAACAGAGGACAATGCGGAGGGAATTCTGGAGATGATGGGGTCAGATAGTAAACTGTTCACAGCCAAATAACTTGCCAACACTCATTGTTGAGAACCAAATTTCAGAAGACTACTGTACAGTTCCAGCTTTAAGGAATTCTTTAATAGTAGCTACAGGGGAAAAGTAGAGAAATAGAAAATATTACTTGACTTACATCAACATTGCTTTCAGCAATTTTAACTGGTTGCAGAACACGTCTGATTGGTTCTTGTCCCGTCACCTGGTATAAAAAGATAGGATGAAAACAGGCAGCAGAAAGCTATAAAATTCTATCCAACCAACTTCGGATTCTCCCCCAAAGCAAAAGTTTGTACTGCATAAAGGATTAAAATACAAAGTCTTTACTAAAACTACAACTGAACATTCGACAAATTAGTTTTGTTATTAAATGCATCTAGTAAAAACCAAAGTAAGGTAAGGATGGACCAACTGAGGAATTATAAAACAAGTGACAGCCTAAGGAAATGACCAGCAAAATCTCAAGATCAAATAAACCTCACAAATTGGTAACTTGGTGATCACAGTGTGAAAGATGAGAAGAAGTACTTCCTCAACATTTTTACTAGCACTTCTGTGCCATATACTAATGTTTGAGATGAAGATTCAGGAGGTTAGTGGAGGTATCGGTGACAGATTTATTTCCCCCATTGCATGACCATTTGGTGATGGCATCTGTGGGCTTCCACTCTTGTTGACTATTTTCCAGTGACCCTTGCTTGAAAAGTGCACGTCCAAGTTATGGCTCAGAATGATGTCCCACCCTCAGCATTAGATGAGCTGCCCACCACCATCAAGAACAAAGAAGTGACCACTAGTGATGTAAGCATGTTAACACTACTGTTAAAATAGCAGAAGGAGAAACGATGGAGAAATCCTGTCATAATGGCCCAGTTCTATGTACTGTTTAGGTGGATTAAATGAAGAATGGCAAGATACTGATAGTCTGCTGACGTGTATTGAACTTTAGCCCCAGCTGACCGAATCCCTTCGGGAGGAAAGAAAATTGCGAAGGTGGTGAAGGGTTGAGAAAAAGCAAATGTATTTCTCACATGGTGGTCATTCTAATATAAACATTTAAGGATGAAGATCTACACAAATGTTGATGGCTAACCAAAGTATCATTGATAAATACATGGCAACCATACATCCAGAGTCTTTTCTTTACATCAAACGCCTCAAATTCTGAACAATTAACACATTACCTTCTGTTCAAGTTGCAAACAGTAATGGGTGTGTATTCTAGCTGACAATTTGCAGAGCAAAGTATTACTTTACAAACATCTGTTCTTCAAATTGTGCTACAATAAGCTGATAACATTCCTCCTCGGGTAACATTTATTTTGTCTGGATAAGGGATAATTTAACCCTATCTTCAGATTATTTTAACAATCCACAAAAAGACTTAAATCAACTCAGCCTCAGTAACATCTTTGCAAGGCATCCTGAATTATCCAAGTTGGTCAATATAAATTGACTGCAACAAATAAGGACAAAGCTTTTTGGTTTTAATCAATTGTATACCAACTACACCTTTGTGCTAAACTATCACAAGTAATGTTGATCACAGAAAAATTGAAAGTTATGGCACACAGTAAAATACTGAACTTTGCTGCCACAAACATGCTTTATGTTGCTTAAATTGCCTTCCTTAAAGGGGCAATATCTTTAAGAAAAATGTGGTTATCAGAGGGTGTGGGTGTATGCACATGTTATGTGCAAGCATGTGCACACATGTGCATGTGTTTAAACTTCCCAGTTCTTTTTGGATGTCATGAGATAAATTGCATTGAAATGTAACATTGCAGGAGCTTACATTTATTTAGAAGCAAAAGACTGCGCAAAATTATTTTAATAAATGGTGCCCCTTTAATGAAATCAAAACACACACTCACGTAAAGTACACACGAACACAGTTAGTTTTATAAAATCTTGAAAAGTTCAAAATAAATCCAGCCTTGCAGTCTGCAATGGAAGATCAAGCTTGAAATCAATATTTTAATTCACAGAAATGACAGCATAGACCAAATCAGTGAGAAAGGGGACACACTGAATTCTAAACACTGCATATAAAACCATGGTGGAAAGCAAGCTGCTGATGGAATAGCCACATGAACTTTTTTTCTCTAGATTTCAGCTGGAACAAGCAGCCTTACTTGAAAACTGGGTCGAAACCTTGGTGTGACTTTCGTTACCATTCTGTGTACCATGTTGATCAAAGGTATATTAGATTTCATCTGTTCCAAACAGAAGAGGAATACATTTCATTACAATAATGGCGACTGCTTCCTTAGAATCATTTAAAGTCACCAAAGTGAAATGTCACAATTTCAAACAATGCTTCAAAGTATGATGAATGTATCATACCATTCCATAAATAGTCCTCATCAACTGCCCTCCATCAGGTCATAAATGAACTTGTATCACCAACATCCTGCTAATATTTGTAATAATTTTAAATTCACCTTCAAATATCTGAAAGTTTCCACGTGCTTTCACTTGCATCAGCCAAACATATCGATAAAACCAGTCATTCGTCTCACCACTAGTTCAGAATGGTTGTTTCATTTGCTTAATTAACAGGAGTCGAGGCATTCAAAAGTAAATGGTTTGTGCTAAGCACTTTGAGACATTTTGTCATGCTAAGGTATTTTATAAAGACAAGGCATTATTATTGTTGGGACTTTTGCCAAACCTGTGCATAAACTGTTACAGTGCTGTAACAGACTCTGCCACTAGAGGGTAGCTCTAGTCCACAGAACATAACCATGAGGGATATGGTTGCCAGAATTTACCATCCAGTACTGTTGTTGATCTGGAACGCACATTCTCAGTCAGAATAGGAAAGCAAAACTCCAAAGCCGGATTGCATGTTCCAAAGGATCTCCTATAATACCACTGATAGTCATGCATATTAGCCCAAGCAATTGGAACAACTCACTTCCAGTGTCCGGGTTTAAACATGTTTAACTGAACCTTTTGCTGGGAAATATACAAATTTATTTCAAAATCATAACAAAAATCAATTTGCTCAGTGGGTTAATAGAAGCAAAAAATTTAGAAAAACATCAATTTTAAAATTAAAGTTGCACTGATAAATTACAGTGACTACTAAAATTCCACTGACTTGAAAGAAGTCTTCAATAAATTCAATGCACCAAAGTGAAAGATACTGAACCTATTTCTCACTGTCCAGCTAAAATTACCGCCTCACCCCTCATTTCAACACTCTCTCCTCTGAATGAGTTTGCTGCTAGATAATTCCAAAAGCAGAAATTAAATACATGAACTGAGTACGTAGGGCTGCCAAGGAGTGCACATCTGATATATAAAGTCAGATTTACTTTAGTAATATTATAATTGCAGCTCTGAATGGGAAAAATAGCATGTGCTTTTTACTTCAGAACCATGAAGAGGCAACATAATCTAGGAGGTACAACCGCAAAAGTGTTAGGAGATAGCAAGAAAAATGATAGTTGTTAAAGAGGTACACGATCGGCTCAGCTTTGTTAAGTCGATGCATTGAGTACAAAGTTGTGCTTAACTTTTCTAATACACTGGTTAGACCTCAACTGGAGACTTGTGCTTGATGCTGGGCACCACAGTTTAAAACAAAAGACATCAAGGTCTTGGAGAAAGCACAGAGCAAGTTCAAGTGGAATGCTTTGCTTAAATCCAAGAACTAGGATCACTCTAATTCAGGGCAGAGATTTGTTCAAGGTTTTCAAAATTTAGAAGGGATTTGACAGTTTAGCTAATGCCGTTTGCTATAAAAACCATTAACCTTGTAGCCATTTACTGTCCAGAACCCCCTTCCACAAAATGTGGGTAGCAAGATAGATTTTGGCTTAACTAGGATGTTGTCCGATGTTGAACAGTTTGCTAATATTTATGCATAACAAATGATCACATGAAGTGCATGAGATCTGATTGTTGTAATCATTCTCTACCAAGAATTAGCAGCTTTTAGGAAAGAAAGAAAGACTGGAAGTACAACTACCAACACTTTGAGGAATTTGTTTCTAACATTTTGTACAGGAGGAAGTTGCCATTGCATTGAGAGAAATCAAGAATTTAAATTGGATGACTGAGTGTTGCACACTGTTCTTTGATCCCTTGAAATGCTCATGTCAAAATAAACCGATGGGGTGGAAGTAACTTGACAGTGGAAGTGCTGCGTGAAATGACTTTGCACAACAGCAGTCTAAATCTCGGGAAGGAATTTGTAATACATAAAGCTACCGACAAGTTTCCACATGGTAGACTGGTTCGTAAGATGGATCACATGGGATCTAGGGGGAGCTAGCCAAGTGGATACAAAATTGGCTTGAAGGTAGGAGAGAGGGTGGTAGTGGGGTGTTGCTTTTCAGACTGGAGGCCTGTGACCAGCGCTGTGCCACAAGGACTGGTGCTGGGTCCGCTGCGTTCCATCATTTATATAGATGATTTGAATGTGAATATAGGAGGCATTGTTAGTAAGTTTGCAGATGACACCAAAACACGGTGTAGTGCACAGTGCAGAAGATTACCTCAGAGTTCAACAAGGCCTTGATCAAGTGGGTCAATGGACTGAGGAGTGGCAGATGGAGTTTAATTTAGATAAATGTGAGGTGTGGCATTTTCATAAGGCAAACCAAGGCAGGACTTTCTCCACTTAATGGTAGGGTCCTGGGGAATGTTGCCAACCAAAGAGACCTAGGGGTGCAGGTGCATAGCTCCGTGTAAGTGGAATCACAGGTGGACAGAGTAGTGAAGGAAGCATTTGGCATGTTTGCCTTCACTGGTCAGAGCTTGAGTATAGGAGTCGGCATCATGTTGTGGCTGTACAAGACACTGGTGAAGCCACTTTTGGAAAACTGCATCCAGTTCTCTTCACCCTTCTATAGGGAGGATGTTGTTAAACTTGAGAGGGTGCAGAAAAGATTTGTAAGGATGTTGCTGGGACTAGAGGGGTTGACTTATAGGGAAAGGCCGAACAGGCTGGGACTTCTTTCTTCTGGAGTACCAGAGGCTGAGGGGGACTTTACAAAGGTTTATAAAATCATGAGGGGCATGGATAGGGTGAATAGGCAAGGTATTTTTCCCCCGGGGAGGGGGGGGGAAGAATCAAAAACTAGATGGTATACCTTTAAGGTGAGAGGGGAAAGATTTAAAAAGGACCCTCTGCAGACAGTGGTGCGTGTCTGGAATGAGCTGCCAGAGGAAGTGGTGGAGGCAGGTACA